CAACTCTTTATATTTCTATAATTCGTTATACTGTTCGAATTTTGTCAAGTAATCTATTCTTATTAATCTCTCTTTTATCAAAGTTGAATAATTTTTTTTGATATATAATAATCACTTTAATTGTAGATAATCGAAGGAAATATGTTTCACTCTTTTATAAAAAATTAGAAACATCTCTTCTTGCGTGGTCTCCGATTAAAAATTCGCTGTTACGAAACAATAGAATCGTACTCGCTGAAGAGGATACGAGAACGTTTCAAGGATCCAGAAATTATATTTTGCGTATAAAAAAAGAAAAAAAAAAGAGAGAATTGAAAGCACGAAAACAAATTTTTTCGAATATTTTAATCCCCCGATTATTGAAACAACAAAACAAAAATATAATAAAAGTCGATCGAAATACTGTCGCGAAACGATGGAATCACTAAAAATAAAAAATAAAAAATAAAAAATAAATAAATAATCGTAACGTTAAAAATATTTTTTCGCGCAAAAATTAGAAAAAATCGGACGTTCACAAGAGTTTCTCTCGTCGATCGCGACGAGAAGAGAAAAATATGAGAATGGAATCGACTATCTCCTATCGAGGAGAAACACGTGGAAACGCTTGGAGAATCCGGTATATAGACGAATATTCCGTCGAAACGGTTGGAAATAGTCGTGGAAATAAAAAGAGAGGAAGAATTTGAGGGGGAGAGGGAAAGAGGAAGGAAAACAAGCATCCGTCGGGGCGACGAAAAAATCCTGCGCCCCGTTGAAATCCGTTTTTACGGCATCCTGACGTTGAGACGTCGGTCGGAAATCGCGTGTCTGTTTGGCCGCGAGGCGTTTTAGCACGGAAAGCGCGCAACACGCATAAGTAAAAAGACACAGGTGCGCATACATATCAGCCAAGCTTGGTGACCATCAGCCAGTCGTTCAGCGTTCCTCGAGTTAGCATCGTTAGTGGAATTTCATTTCAACCAACTTCTCCACGCTCTGTGTCAAATCGATCTTGAAACGATCCACTCGTGTCTATCGTCTGATCTTCGATCAGAAAGAATACTAGTGCACAATTTTTCGTTCCAATAATTTCTTTTCCATTTCCTAGATTAAAAATTTCCTAGATTGAAACATCTTCTCAACCTTAATATTTCTAATCTTTCGATCGTATTGCGAGATTCGTGAAAATTTATTCTTTTTCTTAATCGTTTCGGATGAAAAATTAGAATAAGGGATTGCGAAGGAATAATACGCTTCGTTTCTCCAGTCCTTATTCTCTGCCACCACGGTCACAATGATATTTACGACAAGGGGCAAACGTTGAATTTCAATCGGCCGTGCACTTGTATAAGCAATTTCGATCTTCGATTCATTATCCGATTCGTTCGATGCATCGCACGCTTGCTGCGACGATGATATAACTCAAAATTTACAGTTTTTTAATCATCGATTCATCAAAAGATTTCATCGTCACTCTTCTTTTATTCATGGATATAATCTTATATCCACGTCACAATTTACAACATTTTCGTCTTTCGTTTCTTCTAAATCGCTTTCGAATTAATTTTCGTATCCCAATTTTATCGAGTCGCCCTGAAACCATCCACCTATTTCCCTCCAATTGTATCGAACTTTCACGAACGAACACGCTCGATGACAAAGCCCGATCCTCACCTCTCTCTCTCTCTCTCTCTCTCTGCCTCTCTGTTTGAGATTCGGGCCGCCTCTTAAAACTCGTTGCTGCATCCACGACAACAACGCCGTCGCGCCGTCTTTCGAGATTATGCGAGTATTTATCGATTTACATTTAGATTTGTCCCGTCACGATGCGCCGCCAATCCATTGTGGCCGGTTGTCGCATGTCTGAGAGTCGCATAATCGCATGGTCGTCGATCCAACAGAGGCGGAGTGGCACGCGTCTCTCACGCGAATATTTTTAATCCTTTCCAGGGGTGGAAACCAGACGGGATACCAGACGGATCAAAGTTCCTCGCGAAAAATCCACCGTAAGGAATTCTCTCTTTCTCTCTCGGCGAAAGGAGACGACGAACTCCTCCTTTTCGAGCGCATATTTTCACGGATGATTCATTGGCCTCGCGGCGACCGATTCGTCCCCTCCCTTCACCTCTCTTAACGCGATTTCGATCGATGGAAACGAACCACCGAGATTCTCCCTCTTCTTCGAGGGAAGAAATTCCTCGTCCAGGCATCTCCTCGACAAATGGACAAAACTTGTTCGCCGAGTCTGTCTAAGATATGTCTCTTCCCCTCGTCAGAACGAATTAAAATTTTTTATTATCTTCTTCTCAAATCGGGGAGAAATTTTCAAATAGGGAGGGAGGATCGAAAGAAATAAAATTGCTGAAGAGATCTCGTTTTTTCGCGCGTAAAAATTGGGATAAAAAAAATTAGAGCTCCATCTCTTCTTCCTTGGATTCAAAATTGGAAATTTTCGAGAGATATGACAAGAGATTTAATTATTATTTTAACGATTTTATATTCTTCTCTCGGAGTGAAATTGGAATAAATTATCGAAGAAATGATGATGTTCGAGGGCGATTCGCGTTCAACCGCGTGTAATCGATAAAAATATTCGCGTGAGTTTTAACGACTGGCCGGGATGATTCGCAGAAACGAGACTGTTTACCTTTGAAACCCTTTGATGTAATCGCAATTATACGGTCGCGGGCGGTTGGAACGAACCAACACGTTGCCTCCTCCTCGATCGCTCCTTTGAGCGAGGCGAAAATAATTAATGAACAGGTAACTCGCGCTCGCGTGCATCGATTGTGAAACGATTCCATGAAACGTTCTTTATTAAACCTACTAATATAAAGTAACAATAAATACCATTTCCATCAATCGTTAATTCAATCTCTCTGTCGACGACGATTACGAAAATTGTAATCTATACGTTTCGATACGATTTCTATCAGAAAGAAGATATAAAAGTTTAAGCTAGATTTAGACTCTCCCAATTTATTTGCGTTAAATTTAGTCGATTAAATAATCGTGTTTTGAAACGTTGTTAATGGAAGTGATCGAAAGTGATTGAAGAGGAAAAAAGAGACCAAGCTTTAAACGTTTTATATTCGGCCGAAGAAGAAACGAGTATGGCGCGAGCGAGGTCGGGGGTTCACCCGAGCTTTCGAATCGACTATCGATTCTTCGAGGGAGAAACCGTAAACGACCAAGTTTCCAACGATTCCTCCCCCGCTTCGAAAGTTTTCGAAAACGAGAGACCGGGTTCTCCCGTGTGCAATGATAGGGGAAGGGGGAAATTACGCGAACTTTCCATCTTTTTGCAGGGGTTGGAGAGAGTTGCAGAATTCGATACTTTTCGTCGAGCTCGAATGCGTTTCGAGAACGGGATCTTTTTGGAAAGGTTTATAAGCGCGATATTTTGTCGAAGAAAGGGTTCTTCGTTTCAAGGAGGATTAAGAAGAACAGATTTCTTATGCGATAGGAAAAGTTCCAAAGCGGGAAAAATGTCGTTTGGAAAAGGATGAAAGTTTTCTCGCCGTGAGTTTGAACGATAAAACGCGAAACAATGCTGCTCCTCGAATAAAAGAATAACTGAAATTAGTCCGAATCTCTCGGCTTTACATCAACCTTATCTTCGATCTTGAACAGTCCACGGTTTCTCAACGTTCCACCACGCTTTCGAAAATTCTGAAAGGAATCGATGATCCAATCCTTTCAAACCTTTCCCCTTAACAACGTAGCTCAAACCTCATGCTCAAAAATGAAAAAACTCTTTCCAACTCTACGTTCCATTATCTCCACGATAATCAATCGATAATCATCTCGTTCCCTCTGCGCGCACAGATCTCTCGCCCCCATCCTCCACCCTGAAAAATAATCGACAAATCCACCTTCGAATCGAAACAAGAAAAAGAAGAAGAGAGAATCTCACCTTCGAAAAAAAAAAAGCCTCCATTCCAAAAACCCTCGTCATCCCCCGGAAGAGTCCTCCCTCGCCGAGTCCTGGAGGACCCGGCAGATCGAACTCTCGAAGCCTGGCCAACCTCTCGGCCAACCTTTTGCTGGTATGCCA